AATAGTTTATGATTGGATAGAGGTCCATAGCTAATGAGCAGAACCTGCTCTCATTGGATATGGAAGAGTGAAGGGTAGTCAGAGCCATTAATGATTAGCAGTGGACGCTAGGAACAACACTGAAAAACCTGATCCGGAATAAAGCTGGCTGGCATCTTTTTGGCAATGTTTACAATGCTGCAGTGCCAGGCTGGCAGTCTCCCCTGCTTATTGGAATGGGTTGGGGAGTCTGAGCACCTTGACTACTGATGAACTGTGAGCCTTGGTTTCTCCTATTTTAGTGAGAACTCAGCATGGGGAGATCAGCCAAACAGTGACCCATTAGGAATGTGTGCGCCCACAGCTTGGGAGAAGACAGGTGTGTGGGAAGGGGACCACTCTAGGTTCAGAGGCCAGAGGAGTGCAGTGTTATTTCTATTTTGGAGGGGAAAGTTGGAGGGGGGGGGAAATGCTGAGGTTATGAACATTCACACTCATTTCCTAGTGTAAACAAGCCCTTCACTTCCCTGCAAGTGAACCCCTAGATTCCTCTGCTAACAGTTACTTCCCACCTTTCATGTGCCTGATGCAATGCTGTCCCTCATTGTTCTTGCTGCTCTGGGGCTGTCTAGAGCCTCTTGTCAGAGGGACAAAAGCCAGGAGGATGACACTGAGGAGGTTGTTGGAGTTCTGGGATCACATAGGGACTCCCTGGATCCCTTTTGTGTGACTGGGTGGATGGAGAGTTAATAGATCAGTCCCTTTTGGAGATCAGACATTGATGTTTGAAACAACAGTGAAAATCCATACCCTGCCCCCAAGTGTCCCATATCAAAGCCTTGGTTTGACTTGCATCTTCCTATCCCCAGGCAGTCATTTCCTGTAAAGTGGATTTCGAGTATTGGATCAGAGTGTGTTTTAGAGCTGAATGTTTCCCAAGCTTGCTAGTGAGGGTGGGATTTTCAGAGGGCTGACTGACGGGGGGCTGCTGACTTGTATGGACCATCCCTGGGCAACTCATTCTGTTAGGCCCCTTGGCAAATCTTACCCCAGGTTGCTGCTGGGGCTTCACTGTGTGGAAGGACCCAACAATGGTAACTGCCATTTGGAGGTTTGTTGCCAATTTAAGGCTGTTCTTGTGCCTTACTCTGCCTTTGCTTTTCCTTGTCAGGCCCGGGTGAGAGACCTTGAGGATCAGTGCCGCAGCCAAACAGAACAGTTCAGTCTCCTCTCTCAGGAACTCAAACACTTCCGACTACAAACAGGAAAGATTGACCTTCTCACCTCCACGTTGGTGACTTGTGATCTTCCACTTGCTCCCTGTTCTTCCACCCCGCAGCCACAGGGTGGTCATTGGGAGAAGGGTAATTACTGGAAATGCTGATAGGTGTTTTGATCGTGACTACATTGTCTGTTGGCTTTCCTGGCTGTAGATTTCCCTGTATCCCCCTAGAAAATAGAAACATTTGGGACAAATACCGGCAGTTTTTTAAATCTTTCTGATGCCTTTCTTGAAAAACCTATGAACAATTGTCTGAGATCTGTTGTGTTTTGGAACTACATATATTTAACATTTCAGTTGTTAAAACCAACTGGTAAGTTATGGAAGATTCTGAGTCTTTAAGAGATACTTAACATATTTGACCATGAGAGGGTACATCATGAAGCACTAGTATAAATGAACCTGTAGAAAGTGATTATATAATACTCTACCATATTACTTGAAAACTTGTCTGTAGCTGTTCTAACAATGTTACCTGAGAGTGAGGGGTGAATATGCATTGACTTGAGTGCTTCCCTGTAGGGCATGAGAAAGCATTGCTCAGCTGAGCTCCATAGTATAATAGAGGCTCTAGGCCAGCTTATTTGTTCCTTCAGGTGGGACAAATTAATGAGCATATGACTGTAACAAGAAAGCTGAGAATTCCCCCAGCAAGGGGAGAGGGGACCCTGATCTATCGGTGTAAAGCCAACATAGCCAGCTCCTGATCCAACTGCCCCCATTTCCCTCCCTGACATACACATTAGGTATGGGATGGCATGCACCTATACTTCACCAGTTTTTGACTGGTGTGTGGTTACCTTGGGACTGTGAGGGTATAAGTTATTTCACCCTTAGGACTGGGGCAGAAAAGTCCACAGGACCAGAGAGCTATAATGAGCTCCCTAGGAGATTTCCTAACTCCTATGCAGATAGGATCTGTCCTATGATAGCATGTAGGACTGAAGATTTCGTTCTCCCTCCCTTAGACCAGTTTCATCCTATGACTTCAGTGGAGCTGCCCCTGAGTGACAGGAGTGTGAGAAGGATCAGGGCCAAGATCCCCTTCACAACTTGTAATTTGGAGAGGCCCTTGTGAGGCCTCTTTCAGCCCTACTTTCCTATGGTCCTGTGAACTGTGTCTCTGGACAGCTCCTCTCAAGATAGCCCGACTATGCTAAAGACAGCAGAGTGCTCACAGCTGCTCTTGTTTGCTCTTCCTTCTGCTTGGAGTAACCAGTGAAATGCCTGGTTTCAGATCCTGATGTTGCCCCTGCATCTCCTGCTCTTCAGTGCAGTAAGACAACTAATGATGAAGGGACTGCGGAGTTGGAGCCGTTACCTCAGATCTCTGACCCCGCACCTAGCGTCACCAAAATTCCACTCCCAAGCGCTGCTGCCTCACAGAAGCCGGCCAAGAAAATGGAGTCCCAATCAAGCTCTTCAAAATCAGAATCAATGCAGAACAGTCCAAAGTCCTGCCCCACTCCAGAGGTCAGTGTTGGCTGTTGCTTTTGGTGTCCCTATTTATTAGCCACTGGAGGGTAAGACAACAGTGGTATCATATTTACTAGTACTGCATTGCTACACTTATGACTGCCTGTTAAAACCTGTATCCAAGAACTAGAGAAATCGATGAAGAAAACTTGCAGAAAGTTGTTGCAGAAGTTTGCACTTTCTTCACTTGGCCATATTCTGTGGTGGGCTTTTGTGCAGATTATGGGCGACTGGTGCCGCCTTAGTCAGAGGGGCCATGTGCCCCCTGGGCGATCAGTCAATGACTGGGCAAGCAGGGGGGCTCCCCCCCATGGCCGATCTTGCCCACAACCAGTCCCACCGACCGAGGTGGCTGGTGCTTGCAGGGGGAGGCGAGGGGAGGCACCGGTGCTCCTGGCTCCCCCCCTGCCCATTGCCCAAGCGACGACCACAGCCAGTCACGGGCTGCACTGGCACTTTCAAGGGGTGCGTGTGCACCCCTGTGCACCCCCTATGCATCGCCACTGGTGCAGATCATTGCACTCTGAAAAGAAAAGAGTCAGAGTAGAGCTCTGTGAAATGGCATATAAGTTTCCTGAGTTCCATGGAGAGTTTTTTTTTTTTTTTTTTATGCATTTATTTTGTTTCTGGGACAGAGCCCTGACTATTTTTTGTTTGCTCTCACCTTCTCTGGCTCCTCAACTCTTGTAGTGCAGGCTGTTCAGCTGCTTCAGCAGGAGGTTGTGGAGAGCACTTCTCTTCGGGATCTGCTGCAGCTTAGTATTCGGAGCACTCTGGGAAGCACCGTGACCATGTAGGCGGGCTCCCCATGTGGTTGTCCCTAATATGTCCTCCATAGGAGATCTGTATTGAGCAGATTTTTGGTGTTGGGAGGTGGAACTGGAGCTTGCTCCATCCACTTCATGCATCGGCCTGGTATTACAGTGCTTCCCGGAGCGGTGCAATAAACCAAAAAAAAAAAAAACCAAACCTCTCTTGGGCTGTGGCTGAGGAGAGCCTCCCACTCAGGTCTTCCATTTTCTGGTCAAGTGTGTAAAATGTTCCTCTGCTATGCAGAAGACAGTAGTAACTCCTCTGGCCATGCTTTTGAATGAACAGTGACTATGTATTCTATGTACTTTGCTGGGTTCAGTGGGTTTGTATATGCTGCATCCCCACCATTGCTGGGACTATGAGCATTCCCTACCCATCTTCTCCCCCTCGCACATACCAGGTCTGGAAATGTGATGGTGAAGCTGCTCTGGAATATCCCTAGCAGCTGCTCTCAGGAACATCATAGACCAAGAGCTTTGAAGTGCCTGTGGAGAGATCTAGGAATACAGTATAACCTCATAAATCCAGCATCTTTGGGACCTAGCAGCTGCTGGAAATTTGAAAATCCTGGGTTTTTGAAATGTAAGAAAAGTGCATAGTCTGGTGGTGCCTGGCCGGCTGGTTGCAGGGTGGGAGGCTTGCACACAGCGGCTGCTATCGCCATCCACCACCCCGTGCTGCTGCTACTACTCCTTCCCCCTGCCCATGCGACCGGCCACTGGGGGTACACTGGTCAAAAAAGGTTGAAAACCCCTGATGTAGTCTATTTTTTTAAAGTGTCAGATTTTTGAGAATTCCGGAATTTTGAAAACTGGATTTATGAGGTTATACTGTGCTCTTTTTTCCAGGCGAGTGCCTAACCCAGCTTCTAAAGAGACTGGCTTCTCTTTATGTGCTTTCTGTCTGCTTCCACATATCTTTACTTCTTGGCTGCCTACCAAGCCGGCTTCAAGAGGATAGTCTTTGTAGGCTTGCCTAGCCCATGGCATGCTGCTTTGGGTACCTTGCAGAGCAAGTGTGAGTTGTAGGTGCAAACCCCCTCAGAAAGGGAGTTGGAACCTGAACCTCTTGCTTCCTGGGCAAGAGACCCAATCAGAGAAGTGAAAGGTAGATGGGTTCTCTTCCATCACAGCATTTCTCTGAATAAAGTTTTGGAGGCTTACACAGAGTGAATATGCTGTAGCAGGCAGATTCAGAGTTAGATGGCTTAGTAACTGTAGTGGAACCATTTTGCGCATATACAGTTGGCCAAGCCTAGTCTTATAGAGTGGAATCTGATGTAAATTCTGTGGAAGTGATATTAAATACTATTTTTACATCTTGGTGACACAATAGGATTTGGCTGAGACTTGGACATATAGTAGACAAATTTTGCTCTAATTTTGCTCCATAAAGTTTTTATTACTTCTGTGTTATAGTTCTTCTGTAGTAATTTACTCAGGGAAGTCTTTCCTATTTTTATATCAGTGCAGTATAAATAGCACTCAGAAATCTTTTTTTGCCTGCAGTTTTTGGAGACCTTAGGTTGTCCTGCTTTCATATTGTCAAGCTTTGCTCTCTAATTCTAGCGTAGAAAGTTACTTTTTTCAAGGAAAGCTGGATTTTCTTGGCATCCTATGACTCCAGGAGCTAGAACTTTAAGAACATTAAATATTGTAAACCTTGTGATAAAATTGTGAGACTTAACAGCTACATTTAGGTACTCTCTGACACGCACACACTAGAAAAACATGGCATATATGTAGATTGGTATGACAAGTTGTAATGTTGGAGAAATTCTCAGATTGTATAATTACAGACTGTGCCATAATGTTGTATATGCACAAGGGGGTTGGCACTTAAAGACATCCATTGTACGTTAATTTTGGCATTTTGTGACTTTTGTGTAACATATCTTATACACTAAAAAGTGGATTACAAAGAAAAGAAGAGAAGGAGCTTCATGTTTCAGGGGTTGAGAGCTGTCCTGGTTTACAAGAGATTCTAAGTTGGCAGTTTTCATGCTAGAGGAGTTCATGGAAAACTTTGCATTGCTCCTTAGTGAGGGGGTTTTCTTGCCAAATTGCAGATGTTGAGCCTTGGTTCTTTTGCTGTTCAAAGCAAAACATTTGCAAGCATTTGTGTTCTGTGGTGGGAGCAGTGTATCAAATACACTTGTCTTGTTTCACTGCCCTTAGATTCAGGAAGAGCTGACCTGATTTTCCTCAGAAATATCAGAGATCACATCTTTTTCACAGAAGAGTCTTAAAGTTCCAGACTTTTGAAACCAGGATTGGCAAGACTGGCCTACTCAGTTACCTAGGGGCTTTCCCACTCCAACCAGTCACATTCCCAGGAAGTCCTAAAGCAGGTAGGAGCCAGAGAAGTGCAGCCATGCTGATTAAGGCCAGTGAGCAAATGAAACGGGAGAACACCCTGACGATTTAAGGTGCATACACCCACACATAGATTTCCTAGCCCAAGCACCCTACCAAAGATCAAGGCCCATGAGGAACTGCGGGCTCCTGAGCCATCTTTGCGTAACAACACAAGCTGGATTTCTCTCTGGCCAGTGCCAGACAGGGAGAGGCCCAGTTCTTTGCACTGATGCCCAGAGCTTTGGAGAATTATCCCTGTAAGGGGCAGGTCTCTAGGGAAGAACCTATCTTTTACTTTCTCCTGTTTGTGGGATGTTTACCTTTTCCTAGTCTAAGAGAGAAGTTACTAGCCTTAGAATAGGAATGAAAAGTGATAATACCATATTTACTCAAAAACATGATGACCCTGATTATGAGACACCCCCCCACCCCAGTAATTAGATCTTATGCATGGAAAACGTACATATTTGTTCCCCTCTCACTGCTACAGCAGGGAAAATAAATCTAGGGGAGGGGGCCAGGTAGGTCTTTGCTTTCTGCCTCCCCTCAACTTTTTCCCCTGGTAGCCCCTTCCTACTCTTCTTACTGTCAGACCCTGCTCTCCCTGGCTACATGGAAGTGAACAGCAAATCTGAAAACAATAAACCTGAACTTAAACATGGCTTTAGTGATTTGCATATACTACCCATGCACCTAGTTTATCCAGAATTAATGCATGTTACCTTTTTTTTAAACTGTTGCACGTTTTAGCACAAGTACTCCATAAACACACTTTTGAACAGCACTTTGACACCTACTTATATGTTACTTTTTTGTTTTTGTAAAAATATATATCTGTATATATGAGGTTATATATATCTACACTCTGAGTATCACTCCACAAAGAAAACAATAACCTGTTACAAAAACCATGCCCGTGCACCCGTACAAAGGTCTGCTGGCCACCTGGACCCAGTACAATATCTGCCCCATGTGCTACATACACACCAACCAGACCAGGCAACCCCTTCCTTTCATCCCCACCCCACTTGCGGGATCACAGACTCAGTTCATCTGTTGTCCATGTCACTTGCTCCAGCTCCTGCTAGAAGACCCACTGCTGCTGGCGCTGTTGCTGTCCTCGGTTCCATTTGTATCTTCCTCTTCCTCACTAGGGGGAAATTGGAAGATCCTGTGCTACGTGTCTCTGTCCCAGGTGGCTTTGGCCATGTCCTCTGCATCCTCCACTACTGATTTTCTGGTAGTAGGACTGGAGCTTGCTCAAAGCCATTTTCATACAGCCTACCACCTCTACATCCATGTGCCTGTACAACAGGAGGTTTCTGGCTTTCCACAGGACGCTCCTGACGCAGGACGCAAACTGGTCAAGATGGGTCGCTGGGTTCCCCTGGTGTTTGGCGAGGTGTCTGTACAGCACCGCTTCTCTGGTTAGCTGGTTGACACTGATCAGCACTTCGCAGAGCTGCTTCACCCTGTTCCATATCTTCTTGGTGCAGGTGCAGAGCCAGGGGGGGTGGTTGATTGTCTTGGTTGCTCCATGGCAGTTGGGTCTCCCCAGCTGACCCTCTGTATGCCTCTGGGCCCTCGCTGGCAGGGCTCGGTGGGTTATATGTTACAAACTATGCATGATATTGGTCCAAAGCCAAAGGCTCGTGATTTGATGCATACATCATTGGGCTGGGCCACACCAGTGTCAACAGCATTTCAAGCCATGGTGACCTCATTGCTCAGTATGTGTGTGTACTTCAGATACCCCCCCCACAAAGGAGCCATATCTTAATTAGACCCCACGTTTGACTTAACAAGAACACCTGGTCCTGGTTCTAAGTCCTGGGATGCTCCAAAAATGTATATGCAGATGAGGCGCAGGACAACGTGATTCATCTTCACCTCATGGAGGGGCTATACTAATCATATGTGCCAGGTTGAGAGAGGGGCCAGCAGCGATTCTGGGTGGAACTATATGCAGTGTCGTGGAACAACTGGAAAAAGAGTCATCAGTGGGGAGGACTGCACTTAATGGGCACTACCATGTGTCTTATTCAGATGGACTGCACTAACTTATTTTTGTGGTAGATTCCCATCAGCATATTTCCCAATGTGGGCCATGTGTTTTATAGTCATGCTCAGTGTTGGCTGCACGTAGTCAACTTCATAGTTGGTTTCCATTGCTGAGCACATGCTGCTTTTGGTAGCAGTTTAATGATAGACAGTGTATTTAGTGAGTTTTTGTTGTGCGTGATTTTAAGATGAGGGGGCTTTTTTCCCCTTGCCAATTAGCTAGTCTTAGTTGTACCTCTGAACACCCCAGGGAATGTACACTTGCATTAATGTGTGTTTCACGGGAAGTGACATTGTGCATCAGATGGCATTTAATTTTGACACAGAGGAGGACCTGTACTTTCTCAGCAAAGTTAGACCCACAAGCCTTGCTTTTTTTCAGAGCTTTCAGCACAGAAATCAGTTGCACATTGAATACAGTACAGACAATTGAATTTGAAATCAGAAAGAAAATCCAGGACACCTGAAAGATTCCGAAATGGCAGTGTGGACTTGGCAGATCCCACCCTGAAGGACAGGCTAAATTTTAGGTACCTGGAACACTGCATTGAAAACAGCTTGAAAACAAGGCTGTCTAGAGCTAGAGATCGCAGCTGGTGTGATCCATGCAGTTAGTTCAGAACAGAAAGTTTGCAGGGTATCTCACATTGCTCCAAGATAAACACTATGAACGTACTATTCTGGAAAAGATGCCACTGAACTCTGTCAAAGATTAACTGAGGCAGCTGAAGTAATTAAAGGAGTGCATGGAATTTCCTGGTATGTACAGTGGATCTACATTTAAAAATTGTATTTGCATCAGAGAAAGCAGAGTCTGCTCTAAATACCAACCTGAACTGGTTTCAAGTTAGGCTTTGCAGTGTGGCTTGACAAGTCGCTGGTAAAGTGAAAATATCAGAGCTGACCCAAAATCCTTATTCTGTTTAGCTGCTGAATTTGCACAGGGAAAAATTGCACTATCTTTCTATTGTAATATGGCATCAAAATCTACAGAGCTGCTTGAAGGATTAACAAATGCTACAGACCCTTAATCAGCTAAAGAAGTAAGATGTATTGGCTACTGAATGAGCAGAGTAGTAAGCCCATCCGTCACCTAACAGCTGAAATGACTACTCTCACAAAGACCAGGGGCAGGGGAGGGTTCCCCTAGCAGTTGTTCCGGTTTCCAAGGCATTGTCAAAGTCAGTGATAACTGATAAGGGAATTCCAGTAAGTCTTAGTCACCTTAGAGGTAGAAGAGAATTTGGGCCTAGGTGTCTGGTAAATTTTGAAGTCCTGGAGATAAGCACATGTCTGTCCCCACTCTTCTTGCCTTAATAGAACAATTTTCACAGATAGGATAAACCATTTTCTGTTACCACATACAATATAGTGATTTGATGCAATCAGGCAGCTTTGCACCAGCTGAGAATAGGATTTCACTTGCTGCACTGCTGTTGGGATCGTTCTGTTTCTTTGATCTGTCACAGCTGCCCCTGATCCTTATTCTTGTCTGTTTGGTAGGTGGACACTGCAAGTGAAATGGAAGAACTGGATGTTGATAGCGTCTCTCTAATTCCAGAGCCAGGGAACCAAGGCCCTGCAAAACTCCAGGTCTTCTTAGCTCGATACAGGTACCGCACGATGGACAACGCTCAGGGGCAGACCAATTGCCATATTTGGCATCAGGAAAGAATTTTACTCCATGGTCGGATTGGTATGGAGTTATGGGGGTTTTAGCCTTCCTCTATAGTGTGGGGGGTGGGGTGGCTCTCTTCGTTGGATCTTTTGTGTGCATTTTAACCCTTGCAGGAGCAGGGCACTGATCATCATTGTCCCGCTGCTTTATCCATGGCAGGTGAGGGTGTTATGCCTTGTGTCAGGGTTGGCTGTGTAGATTTACTAGCAGGTTAAACAAGAATTTTATATAGGATGGTTTGGATAGGGATGATCCTGTTTCAGGCAGAGGGTTGGACTAGATGACCTCTAGGTGTCCCTTCCAGCTCTATTTTTCTGATTCTAATGTCCTTAATATTGTCTAGGGGATTTAGGCAGAATCTGAGGGATCGTAGGATGTTTGGCATAGTCTCAAATTTTGGGACAGGTTATTCCAAAATTGTCTATTCTGATCTTTCTCTGTGCATCTAACACCACCCACTGTTGGAGATGAGATACTAGGCTAGCTGGATCATGGGTCTGATCCGTTCTAGGGGTTCCTATGGCCCTTAGTAAATGCACAGATAATGCTTCCAGATGCACACAAGCACCATTGGAAGCATGGCTTGCTGAGTCAGGAGCATGGAGTAAAAATTTCCTTTTGAAAAACTTTTAAAGAAGATTGCGGCTCTTTCATTTTCTTTAATTGTAAAAATCCTTGCATTTTGCAAAAATTTCAAGTTTTTATTTGAAAAATTGAAAATTGGAAAATTATTAGTTCAAACCCTGAAACTTCCAATTTTTGCAACAAAATTTTTGGCTTGGGCTAATGTTTTTATGATTTAATGTATTCAATAAAAAATTGGAAGACCCCCCCCCCCCCAAAAA